GATTTTCAAGATCTATTTATGTTGTAACATGTATCAGTACTTCATTCCTTTTTATGGCTGAATACTATTCCATTGTGGATATATCACATTATCGCCATTCATCATTTGATGGACATTGGATTGTTTCTTCTTTGTGCTATTATGAATAATGCCACTATGAACATTGTGTACAAGTTCTTGTGTTAGCATGTGTTTTCAGTTCTCTTTGGTGTTTATCAGTGAGTGACATTGCTGGTTCACAGGGCCATTCTGTAGCATTTTGAAGAACTGTTGAACTGTTTCCCAAAGCAGCCACACCACTTTACATCCTCACTAGCAATGTATGGGTACTGCTAAAATCAATTTTTCACCTCTTTGCCATCACTTGTATTGTCTTTTTTTTTTATAATAATTTGTTACAAAAATCCTACTGGTTCCTCTTTATTTTTCTTAAATGGAGTTTGTATTTTTTTTTTAAGTAGGCTTCATGCCCAGCACAGAGCCCAATGTGGGGCTTGAACTCAAAACTCGGAGATCGAGTCCTGAACTGAGATCGAGTTGAATGCTTAACTGGGTGCCCCTGGAGTTTGTATTTTTGATCCTTATGACTTATGTTATTTTGGATGATTTTCCAGAGGAGAAGGCAGAATTCTTTACTCCCTTAAAATTAGAAGCCCTATTCACATGTACCCCAATGTTCATAGCAGCACTCTCAACAATAGCCAAAACATGGAAAGAACTTCAGTGTCCATCAACTGATGAATGGATCAAGTGGTTTATCTACACATGGAATACTACATGGCAATGAGAAAGAATGAAATCTGGCCATGTGTAGCAACATGGATGGACCTTGAGGGTGTTATGCTGCGAATTAAGTCAGGCAGAGAAGGACAAATACCATATGTTTGCATGGATAGGAGGATTAGGAGGAACTTAACGGAGGACTGTGGAGGAGAAGAAGGGGAAAAATAGTGGGGGATGTTGCGGACGAAATGACACAAGACACACACAAAAGACAGACACAGACACAACTCCGGCCGGAGGAACAATTCTACGCAAGCCCCTCTTGCGGTTTATTTTATACCCGGTAACTGGATACAAACTGAAATCTACAAGATGCATTCCTTTACCAATTAAGAGCAAGTAGCCAAACACATTTCAAGGACAGGTGGGAGCAAAGGGAGGAAGCGACCACAACATTTTACTATTTACTAAGTAAATAGTAATTTACTAACATTTTACTGTTTACTAAGAGGCCTGCTCACAATTCCAGCCTCCTCATTTCTAAGAAGGGCATGTTCCCTCGTTTGCGAGCGGACCATTAAACTTGGATATTGTGTGCAGGCCTCCTGGCAGAGCATTCTGTTTGCAGGCATGCTTTGCCCAGGCAGGGAGCCCCGTGTGCAGGCACATCCCCGCGTCCCTAACCACGCTTTCCTGTGGTCACTGTCGGGCTCCCACAGGGGAGAGGGAGGGAGGCAAACCATGAGAGACTCTTGAATGCTGAGAACAAACTGAGAACTGATGGGTGTGGGGGGGAGGAGGGGGGAGATGGGCATGGAGGAGGGCACTTGTGGGGATGAGCACTGGCTGTTATATGGAAACCAACTTGACAGTAAACTTTTTAAAAATTTTTAATAAATAAATAAAAATAAAAAAATAAAACCGTGAATAGGAAAAAAAATTAGAAGCCCTATAGATCTTGTTAAAATTTTTCAGTTGGGCTAATAACACCCTATCAGTGCTGATGTCCTGCCTGGTTCTTCATCTGGAAATGTCTGTCACTTTACTATTAATATTTCACTGCAAAAATTATATTCCTGGGCTATACACAAATTCACAGAACATATTACATGCTGGCAAAAATCACATTTTTTGATGCAATCATTTGTATCACCTCAAGTCCAATTAGGCACCTGGAAGCAGTTCTGGATTATGTTGTCAGCGTCAGGCTAAAACACTGCAGTGACTGTTTTAATAATGAGTTCATCTGAAGTACTCTATTAAAAAGAGCACTCTTTTCGGGGCACCTGGTGGCTCAGTTGGTTAGGCGTCTGACTCTTGGTTTCAGCTCAGGTCGTGATCTCAGTTTTGTGGGTTCAAGCCCTGTATCGGGCTCTGCACTGGCAGCATGGAGCCTGCCTGAGATTCTTTCTCCCTCTCTCTTTGCCCCTTCCCTGCTCACCATGTCTCTGTCTCTCTCAAATAAATAAACTTAAAAAAATATTTTTTAAAGGCCTCTTCTTTTATTCCAAAAATGCATAATTGTGCATAGATTGACAAATTATTTAAAAAGTTTCCCAAACCCTGGGGCACCTGGGTGACTCAGTCAGTTAAGCATCCGAGTCTTGATTTTGGCTCAGGTCATGATCTCACGGTTTATGAGACTAAGCCCCTCATTGGTCTCTGCACTGATACTGCAGAGCCTGCTTGGGATTCTCTCTCCCTCTCTCTCTGTCTCTCCACTGCTTATGCACGTGCATGCACCCTCTCAAAATAAATACATAAACATTAAAAAAAAAAAAACTTTCCCAAGTTCTAGCAATAGCTAATAAAAAATTTAATAGGAAAAAATCCTATTCCCATTAGTGACAAAATAATAAAACATGAAGATCAGTTGAGCAGGTTAGTCTAGCTATGAACCAAGTACCTATGAATAGAAAACAGTAAAAGATGTATTTCAGATCAATGAAGGACAGATGGAGTATTCCATAAACGATATAGGAAAAACTGGCTCCTAACTTGGAAAAAATAAAGAGGGATATGTATCTTACAGTGGGGACCAAGATAAATTCCAGAAACAGATGTAGATGAGAGTGGGGAAACATGAAGACCTGTGTTCATCCTGCCTCCTCTGAAGTTGAAGATATTAATTCCCACTTGGGAGGCTTTCCCACAAAGTATGTACCTCGTGGTTGCAGATCTTACAGACAGACTTTGGCCTTACGGTGGCTGTTTATCATATTTCTTTCTCCCTGCAAGTAAGTCAGGAGTCTGTAGTGGTTTGGTAGTGGCCTGCCTTTTGTACTGGACATATTTTTCTTCTTTCTAAAAATTAACTGTATTAAGGTATAATTTATATACAGTAAGATACACATTTAAATGTACCACTTCATGAGTTTTGACAAATGTCTCCCGTTATGTAATGCCCACCCCAGCAGAACACTGAAATCACCCCCAGATAATTCTCTCTTGCTTCTTTGCAGTCAATCTCAATCCTCTATTCTCTGCTGTCACAGATCTAACACAACAGCTAAAACTGTAAAACTTACAGAATAAAATATGGGAGAAAAATTTCATAACCCTGAGCTAGGCAAAGATTTTTTAGGTGTGAAACTAAAATCAGTAACCATCAAGGCACCTGGGTGGCTCAGTCTGTTAAGCGTCCCACTCTTGGTTTCGGGTCAGGTAATGATCTCGTGGTTCGTGGGTTTGAGCCCTGCATTGCTCTGTGCTGGCAGCCTGGAGCCGTTGGGGTCCTCGCTCTCTCTCCCTCCCCCAATCGCCCTGTCTCTGTCTCTCTCAAAATAAATAAATAAACTTTAAAATAAAATAACATCAGTAACTATAAAGGAAAAAAATTATCAAAATTAAAAACAAATGCTCTTGACTTCCAGTTTCTGGGTCAGCCTGTGTTGCATTTGGATGTCATCACTCTTTCCTAGCAAGAAATAAATTGAGGAAACTGAAAAATCAACTCTCTGTAGATACAGCAGAGAACTCAGGCCACAAACTGTTGGCCCCCAAGTTAGAGAGTCAGACAGACAGATACAGAGAGTCATGTTATTGGAGTCGAAGCCCAAGAGTAGAAATCTCCATGGGAACCAGTAGTCACAGGAAAACTTAAACTGTAATTGAGGAATTACTGGAGGCTCAGTTTGGATATCTTTGAGAGTTAAAAAAAAAACCAGGGGTGCCCATCTTGGGGATACCCCCACACTTGCTTTTTATCTCATCCCTATATGGGGGACCCAGAAGGGCGAAGATTTTTATTTTTTAATTGTATTTTTAAAAGTAGATAATTTGTAAGACTTAGAATTTAAAAAGTACAAAAGGTTATACAGTGTAAAGTTTCTTTCTTATCCCTTGCCCTTCAAGCACTCACTCCCCAGTTCTCTTCCCTGGAGACAAATCATATTATCAATAGTTTATTACATCCTTCTAGAGGTTTCTCTCTCTCTCTCTCTCTCTCTCTCTCACACACACACACACACTCTCTCTCTCTCTCTCTCTCTTCGATTTTTTCACTTCCATTTTTCACTCTGGTCTGATTTAACCCTTCCCCTATTTGGAGGCAGAACTGACATCTTCATAACTCTGGATCTTCCTATCCAAAAGCATGGTGCCTTTCCAAATGTTTAAGTCTTTTGTGCTCCTCAGTAATGCTTTAAAGCTTTAAAGTATTTGTGGGTGGGCACCTGGCTGGTTCAGTCAATAGAGCTTCTGACTCCTGATCTCAGGGTCATGAGTTCAAGCCCCACATTGGGTTTAGAAAGTACTTTAAAAAAAAAAAGCTTGAAAGTGTTCTTCATATAAATCTCAAACATTTTTGTAGGCTTATATCCCAATGTGTTATCTTTTTGTAGCTGTTGGGAATGATAAATCCCTTCCTTGGTCTGTCATATTATTAGACTCAGCTGCCGAGAACCAATGTGGGCTGCCCTGAGATCCCCATGCATGAGCAATGATTATTTCTTCTCGTGTAATCATAAGCAATAAAGGTGGTAATCTTATGATTTCAAATTCACTGATTTCTGCAGGGAGATAACTAACACTTACTGGGTACCTAATACAGGCCAGGCATTAGGCTGACATTTTAAATAAATTTATAATATGTACATAAAACAGATGTTACTATCCTCACTTTACATATCAGGAAAAAAATCAGAACTCCAAAGTCACAGAGGCAGTAAACTTTGGGCCTCCCAGCCATTATTTTCTCCCATAACCCAAAAGGAGCTGTAGTTGGCAGTGACGTGACTGGCCATTGTTCGCTAGGAATTTTCACTCCCTGTTGCTAATTACATACCACTTAAATGTGTTTTATTAGATAGATCAAACTGATTACAATTTCTTAGATAATGAAGGTAGTATATATTTTTACTAAATGGTTAAAAAGACCTGTGGTAATCATCCAAATGAGTTCCAGATTCCATGTGTCTCTTTTTTTTTTTTTTTTCATACTTTCACTATTGTTTTCCCCAAATTTTCGCCTTTCAGCATTCCCATAAACGCAGCTGGCATGTTTTCAAACCCTTCAGTGATGTATTCATGGTACTGGATATTACCCTGTATCAAAACGACAACAAATATAGCATGTTAATTTCATATTTGGAATGATATACTTTACTCATCATAGCAACAAACTTATCAGAACATCCTTATCTTGGACATCTAAGAGGAAGGCCCAGTCTGCCGTGAACGCATAGGCAATCTGGGGGCATGAGCCACAAAGTACACATAATGATTTGGTAACAGGCGTTAGGTCCCAGGGTAACAATAGGGGAAAGGTCACAGGAAGTGATTAAGCAATTTCTAAGTAAATCATATGGAAAAGTTTGATAATGCAATGATCTCAGAAAAGGCGGAAGAAGATGGAAAAAGGGGCCCCCGTCCAGAGTATTATCTGTTTTCATCCTTCCAGTAGCTTCATGACGTAGCATCATTACCTCGCTTGGACCCCTGAAGCGGCAGAGCTCGTTCAGGAATTGTGAATCCCACGGCAGCCTAATAATCCAGCCTCCCTTCAAGCCCAGATTCTTTCAATATGTGTTGAACATTCATTTGGGCACATGGGAGGGAAGGGTTCATTTAGTGAGGGTTTTTCATTTCTCTGCTGCAAGGCAGTCTACACAGTGGAACTAATTTACATTTTCAAGGTTTTTATAAGGGATCTTCTGTGGAGACTGGAGTTACCTGATACCACTTATTTTCCTAACGTATTCCAGTGATGGCTTAGCACCCTTTATGGATTTATGGAGGGACGATTTGCTTGGGGTCACTCAACTAATTAATGTATATGGAGGCTGGGATTTGAAGAACCCTTGATGAGAAAGCCCAACTCTTTCCTGTTCTTAAAGGAGGCAGAGAGCCTGTAAAGAGGCAAATGCTGTAATCAAAAGTTTGCAAGTTAAAAGTAGAGGATGAATAGTAATCTGTAGGTGATAATAATATGATAAATCAAGGTGCATATGGACCCCCTTTGTACTATCTTTGTGATTTTTCTATAAATCTAAAACTATTCTAAAAGAAAAGCATGTTTTCAAGAAGAGAAAGAGATGAGGAAACAAAACTGAGTAGATGAGAGAGAAATTAGGCCAATTCACTAGTTACTGAAAACAAGACTGTAATTAGGTCCACTCTGCTAGAAGGAGGCACTAGGAAGACCAGCACAGTGGTTTCTCGTTGTCAGCTGCCATCGTGGGAGGGCTAGGTCAGATTTCATCAACAGGGACAAAGAGGCTCCGCACTGGGAACTTGAAGATCATTTAGCTCTTCCCAGCTTCCTGGAAAGAGCCCAGCTCCACACTCCCAGCATTGGACCGGGAAAAACACCAAGCTCCACTGGCTGCCAGAGAAGCAATCTATTTCTTTGAATTGGGAAATGATGATAAAGCCAAGAGTTTAGAAGTGTGATACCACTTTTCCCCTCTGAAACTAAAATAATACCCTTTGGTTATTCAGATTCTGTTGACTAAAACTCCAAACTGTGCAAGGTGGGAAAGTGTCACAACATAGGACAGGGTTGGCCTTCTCCTGTGGATCGAAAGCCATGGCTACAGGAAGATGCCAATCTGGACCTGGAAGAGCCACAGCCCCAAACAGATGTCCCTCCAACATTTGTCCAACAATGTTCATCTCGTGTTTACATTGATTCAGGCAGCATTCTAGGTGGTGGGGATACATCAGAAAACAAAATGCATGAACGTTGCTGCCTTCATGGAGGATACATTCTCACAGGAGGGTGATGGGCAATAAATATAAGTGAATTATAGTATACATTATGTTAAAAGATGATAATTGCTATGGGTAAAAGTAAGATAAGGAGGCTCGAGAATGGAGGGGGACTGCAATTTAAAATAGGGGCATTCTGGGGCACGTGGGTGGCTCAGTCTGTTAAGCGTCCGACTTTGGATCAGGTCACGATCTCGTGGTTCGTGAGTTTGAGCCCCGCATCCAGCTCTGTGCTGACAGCTCAGAGCCTAGGGCCTGTTTCAGATTCTGTGTCTCCTTCTCTCTCTAACCCCTTCCCTGCTCGCACTCTGTCTTTTTCTCTTACTAATATTTAATAGATAAATATTTTAAAAATCATAAAAAATAGAGTAAAATAGGGCCATTTTAAAAGTTTGCCTCATTCAGAAGGTAGTTTTTAGGAATGACTTGAAGGAGATGAGTGAATTAAGGAAGCAGTTATAGAGGGACAGAGCGAAGTGGAGAGAGATGGCAAAGTAAGCAAGGGGTGAACACTAAGAAATAAAATTAGAGAGGTAATGGGGGCCAGATCACGTAGAGCTTTGTAGGTTTTATTCTAAGTGAAATGGGGAACTTTGCAGAGTTTTGAGCATAAGAATGACATGGTTTGATTTATGCTTTAAAAGATCACACTGGCAGCTGTGTTGGTAATTGTCTGCTGGGGCACAAAGTTGGGAGGCCAGACAGAGGCTACTGCAACATCTAGGCTGAGAAGATGGTGGCCTGGACCAGGGTGGTAGCAGTGGAGATGGGAGAGCTGGACAGATTCTGTGTATATTTTGAAGGCTGAGCTACCAGAATTTCCCAAAATATTAAACGTGGGTTTGAGAGAAAGAAAGGAATCAAAGATGATTTCAAGGTTTTTGGATTGAGCAAGTGGGGGCGGGGGGTGGCGGGGTGGGGACAGAATTGCCGTCACTGAAATGGTGAGGTCTGTATATGGAATGGATTTGGCAGGGAAGATCAAGACATATTTAGCTTTTGACGTGTTGAGTCGAAGATGTGTATTACACATCTAAGAGCAGCTGTTGAGCAGCCCGGAGCCCAGGGGAGAGATCCAGGCTGGAGACAGACATTCAGGAGCTGTCAGCATACCAATGATATTTAAAGCCAAGAGCCTGGGTGAGGTAAGTAAGGGATAGATAGACTGCGGGCAGAGAAGAAAAGAAGCCCAGTGACCGTATCTTGGGACACTCTATTATTAATCTGAGAGAAAAAAAGAAGCTAGCAGAGGAGGAGGTCCTCTGAGGAAGACAAATCTGTGAGGAAAACCAAGAGTCAAGGGAAGGCAAGGGAGGAAAGTATACTAAGGACAGTGTGATCATCTCTGTCAAATGTCACCCAGAGCCAAGTGATTTTAAGAACCAACCACTGCAGTCCACAATCTGAGGACACTGTCAACCTTGACAAAAGCAATTATGATGGAATGGTAAGAGTGCAAAAGCCTGATATGTGGGTTTAAGAGAGAATGGAAAGAGAGGAACTGCAGACAGTGAGTGTAAACGCTTCCTGGGGCACCTGTGTGGCTCATTTGGTTAAGTGTCCGACTTGGGCTCAGGTCATGATCTCATGGTTCCTGAGTTCAAACCCCCCATCAGGCTCTGTGCTGACAGCTTGGAGCCTGGAACCTGCTTAGGATTTTATGTCTCCCTTTGTCTCTGCCCCTCCCCTGTTCACACTCTGTCTCTGTCTCTCTCTCAAAAAAAAAAAAAAAAGCATTAAAAAAACCCACTGCCTTGTATTTTGTTCTAAAAGGGGGAGCAGTGAGGTGGACCTGTATTTGCAGTGGAAACGAAGCCTATCATGTCAGAAGGGAATGGGATCCAGTGTACAACTGGGGGAGTGGCTCTGGAGCCCCTCACCTCTAAGACCCATTTCAGCAAGTCTTTCAGAGCCTTCTGGCGGACGTCTCCTTGCCAGCGGGTGACGATGAACCCTTCCATGCGGAGTTGCTGATAGATGATAATCTCTGGGGGTGGGCCTGTGAAAGAGGAGGACACATTTAGCTGACAGGGTCCAGGGAGGTGGCCATGGTGAAAACACAAGCAGTACAAGTCACATCACTGTTCTGAATTTCTGTATTCTTTTCTGATCCACAGAGCTATCCACAAATCAACATATCCTTTGTGGTAGGTGGAATCATGGTCCCCAAAGATGGCCATATCTTAACTCCCAGAACCTGTGAATGTGCTTCCTTACATGGCAAAAGAGACTTGGCAGGCATGATTAAGTTAAGAGCCTTTAGATGAAGAGATTATTCTGTATTATACAGGTGGGCCCAATATAATCACAAGGGTCCTTGTAAGGAATGCAGAAAAGTCAGAGTCAGGAAAAAATATATGATGATGGAAGCACAGATCGGGGTGAAAGAGGAAAAACAGACATTGGAAGATTCTGTGCTACTGGCTTTGAAGATGGATGTAGGGACCACGAGCCACAGAATGTGGGCAGCCTCTAAAAGCTGGAAAAGGCAAGGAAACAGACTCTCCTCTTGAGCCTTCAGAAAGGATTCAGCCCTGCTGATCCATGTTAGATTTTTGAACTCCAAAATTAGAAGGCAATAAATCTGTGTTGTTTTAAGCCACTAAATCTGTGGTAATTTGTTCCAGCAGCAATAGGAAACTAACACACACTCAGACCTTGCACAGGCCAGGCAGCCAGGGAATGTTCAGCCCGCACACGTCAGAAGCAAGGCCCACCCCAAACCGCCCAATCAGTTCTATAGAACAGAAGCAGGTCCTGAAGATAACATGAAAATGTTCCTGTGCTAATCAAGCACAAATACCCTGATATTCCTGACACTTAGAATTCTTTTTCAGAATCATATGGAAGGCTTGTGAAAAGGGATTGCTGGCCCCTCCCCCAATTTCTAATTGTCAATATGGAATGGGTCCCAAGAATCTATACGTCTAACAAATTCTCAGAAGATGGTGATGCTGCTAGTCCTGGGCCCATACTTTGAGAACTACCAGCCTAGAGAAAGAACCAGGCTACCCTGTGGCCTATCAAGAAGGCAGTACTTAGGGCGCCTGGGTGGCTCAGTTGGTTGGGCATCCGACTTTGGCTAAGGTCATGATCTCACAGTTTGTGGGTTTGAGTCCCACAATGGGCTCTGTGCTGATAGTCAGGAGCCTGCTTTGGATTCTGTGCCTCCCTCTCTCTCTGCCCCTCCCTTACTCACACTCTGTCTCTCTTTCTCTCTCAAAAATAAACAAACATTTGGGGCACCTGTTTAAGCATCTGACTTCGGCTCAGGTCATGATCTCGTTGTTCATGGGTTCGAGCCCCGCGTCGGGCTCTTGTGCTGACAGCCAGCTCAGAGCCTGGAGCCTGTCTTCGGATTCTCTATCTCCCTCTCTCTCTCTGACCCCCCCCCCCCATTCACGCTGTCTCTCTCTCTCAGAAATAAATAAAACATTAAAAAATTTTTTAAAATAAATATTTAAAATTTTTTTAAAAAGAAAAGGTAGCACTCTTCTGTGTGAGAGAGAAAAGGTTGTGTTGGTTGTCTGGCTTATTTTCCCAAGGATCCTGAGTAGCCAGAAACTGAGGGAATGACACCTGAGCATAGTCTTAAAAGTTCCAGGAAGTCAGGTGAACATGCCCGGGGAACCTCAGCACCAGAAGAGCCGAGGTGACTGGCAGAATTTATTTGCAGCATCCTTGATAACTGGCATCACTCAAGCTGGAAGTTCCCATTCCCTACTCTGGAGACTGTCACAATAGCAGTCAGAAAAATAGGGCCTTGTCCTGAACCCAAAGAAACTGGTGCAAGAGGAGTGATAAGTGAGAGGGACTCAAAAGACAGCGGCATGACTGAAGTGCCAGGTTGCTCTTGCAGAAAAGGTGCTTCTTCAAGAACATGCACACCAACCATAGATCTCTTTAGGTTTAGAGTTGGAATCCTCATTTCCTCATCTTGGAAGAGGATGGAATACCATTTCTGGGCTTATCCACCCTGATGGGAATATAGTTTCTTTATTGGGAGCAATAAGAATGTGGCATTAAAGCCGGGGCAAATAATTACCTCTGAGCTATCCTAGCAGTGAAATATGTTAGGATTTCTAGAGCTCAGAGGCAGGGCAGGACCTCATCTAAGGCGAATGGACATGGCCAGCTGACGTCTCAAAGACCTATCTGAGCCGCTCAGCTTCCAAACTCTAATTGCTAAAAAGACGAGATCAAGTTACTGGACCCAAAATATTTGGCTGTACCTTACTGGACTATGGTCAAGAAAATGCATCCTGGTGCTTTGCTCAACGGGCAGGCAGAAGATTTCCCAGGATTCTAGCTTAGCTTCAATTGGAAAAAATAGAGGGGGAGAAAGTCCGTAGCAATAAGGCTGCCAAGTGCACCCGGAGTCCTCTTGGAGATGGTCGTATCTTTGATTCTTCCCAGCCTGAGAGGGAGTCTGCAAGCTGTCCTTTCTCAGGCCCTTCCACTCTCGCTCACCTGTCTCAGTGCAGTTGTGGGGTGTGTTAACTAGCAGGGCTGTGGGGTTTCATTCCCATGAGTGAAGCCCGTCACAGAATGAATACCCAATTTATTTATGGTTATCATCCCAGATCCTGATGATAACCTCCAAGATTCCTTTTTGCTCTTTTTTTCCTCCTTTTTGGGGGGGGGGGGGCACAGGTCAATCTGTAATCTCACCAACAGCACAGGATCGTTGTAGTAGAAAAGGACACTGTACGAGAAGTGCTGAAGGCCCATCTTTGAGCCTCTTGCTACGAGGATCTAAAGAGCCTCTGCTCTCTCCATTCATCTCCCCATTCATAAAATAAGAGGCCTGTGCAACATCTCTCAGAGAATTAGGACTTAACAAATAGCGTTCTCTAGTGGATACTGCTTTTGGAGCCCTGTGGGTAGAGAGGGCAGGGGGCAGCCTCAGCATAGAAGAGTGGAGAAGTGGGGAGATGGAGGCACAAAAGAAACAAAGTAAGGACAATCCAGGAATGGAGGGGAAATGCATGCTCCTCTCCCTCTCCAGTTTGGGGGGGCCAGTTTCTGCAGCTCTCGGAGGCACCGCCCACTACTGTCAGAAGGAAATGGCGGCCTGTGGTTTCCTTCACCCACATCAAGTCATCCTCTCCCATCCCCACCCCTCCAGCAATGTCCTCAATATCCCAAAGAACCCTAATATTGCACCAGCCAGACCAAGGTGTTCTGTCTCTAAATCAAATCATGGCTGTCTTCTCACAACTTTGCCCAAAACAATAGGTAAACAATTAAAACTCTTAACAATTATCAACATTTCTCCCATATTTTCAGATTCTGTTATTTCTCTATACCAAAATCTAATATAAGCGATTTAGCAGAAACATATAAAAGTACATATTTTTAGTTTAATAAACACTACTTCATCAAGAATATCAGGAAGTCTCGGGGCGCCTGGGTGGCTTAGTCGGTTAAGCGTCCGACTTTCGCTTAGGTCATGATCTCGCGGTTCGTGGGTTCGAGCCCCGCGTCGGGCTCTGTGCTGACTGCCAGCTCAGATCCTGGAGCCTGTTTCAGTCTGTGACTCCCTCTCTCTCTGACCCTCCCCTGCTCATGCTGTCTCTCTCTCTCTCCTAGAAATAAAAAAAAAAAAACAAAAAAAAAACCACATTAAAAAAAGAATATCAGGAAGTCTGGGACTCCTGGGTGGCTCAGCCGATTAAGTATCTGACTTCACCTCAGGTCATTTTCTCGTGGTTCGTGGGTTCGAGCCCCACAATGGGCTCTGTGCTGACAGCTCAGAGCCTGGAGACGGCTTTGGATTCTGTTTCCCTTGCTCTCTGCCCCTCCCCCACTCACACCTTGTCTTACTCTCTCAAAAATAAATAAACATTTAAAATTTAAAAAAAAAGAATCTCAGGAGTCTTTTAATATTTTGATAGTCACTGGCCTATATACCATATCCATGAATTTTCTCCTTGCCCAGTGTTTCTACATCTGTGATCATGTGCATGAACTCATTACCTGGGGGAAGTGGGCGAGTAGCATTATATACAGAGATGGCCCCACATATAGCAATTCTTCCAAATTTCTTCATCTGGGGAATAACAATGTTTGAAAACTCTCCACCTACCTAAACAGGATGAAAAAAAAAACATTAACAACCCACTTCATGTAATCTAAACACTAGAAGATTCAGGAGAATCATTAAGTCACAATTATCATTTCATAACATTTGTTTTAGAAGCAAAAAATCAGACTGAACTAGCACAACAGTGCAGAAAATTGCATTTGGAAAGGGACATGAGAGGCTGGATGTTTCTGTTTCACTGTAGGAACATACTCTATATAACTTACACATTTTACTTTATTATATTTTGGAGTTCTCTGACCACTTGAACAATCTTTTTGCCTCTATCTAAAAGCATGGAAAAAAATAGTCAAAAGCCACATCAAGAACAATGTTGGAAGACTCACATTTGACAATTTCAAAACTTACTACAAAACTGTATCAATCAAGACAGCATGGGAGCAGAAATATAGATCAATAGAGCTAAGCTGCAAGTCCAGAAATAAACTCTCACTTTATGGTCAATTGATTTTTGACAAGAGTCTCAGCACAATGAAATAGGGGAAAGAACAGTCTTTTCAACAAACGGTACAGAATGACTGGATGTGGTAAAGAATGAAATTGGACCCCTCCTTACACAATACACAAAAATTAACTTAATATGTATCATAGGCCCAACTCTATAAGCTAAAGCCATAAAACTCTTAGAAGAAAACATAGGAGTAAATCTTTATGACCTTGGATAAGACAAAACCTTCTTAAACATGACATCAAAAGCCGAAACAACAAAAGGAGAAATAAATCAGCCTTCATCAAAATGTAAAACTTTTGTGGGGCACCTGAGTGGCTCAGTCAGTTAAGTGCCTGATTTTGGTTCCAGTCATGATCTCATGGTCTGTGAGTTCGAGTCCCACATCAGGCTCCGTACTGACAGCTCAGTGTCTGGAGCCTGCTTCAGATTCTGTGTCTCCCTCTCTCTCTGCCCCTTCCCTGCTCACACTCTTTTTCTCTCTCTCTCAAAAATAAATAAACATTTAAAAATTTTTTTAAAGATTTAAAACTTTTATGCTTCAAAGGACACCATCAAGAAAGTGAAAGGAAAAAAAAGAGAGAAGGTGAAAGACAACTCATAGAATAGGAGAAAATTATTGTAAACCATATTCAGTCAATCCTCATTATTGGTATTTTCCATAGTTGAGAAAGAAACTACTTGCTAAATCTATTTATAACCCTCAAATCAACACTCACAGAGCTTTCCTGCTCATTTGCTGACGTGCCTAGAGCAGTGAAAGATACACAAAGTTCCCAGCTAAAGTCAAACAAAGCCAAGGTTCCTTTTTTCACCCCTCCCAGACATCACCAAAGGAGGAAGGCAGAAGGAAGCAGTACAGAGTAGTTCAAAAAGCTCCAGCTCTGGCGCTGGTTGGGTGGCATCTGAATCCCATCTCTGGGAGGATCAGTTTATGGGGCAGCCTCAGGCAAACTTAACACTTCGAAACCTCCTTTTCTCTTTTAAAAAATGAAGAAAAGAGAAGCTGTAGGAAAAGTTGTTTTTAGGATTTAGGATGATAATGGAGGTAAAATGTGTGCTTGAATATACATACTTGCCTGAGAAGCAGTACTCATTGTTTGTGGTGACTTGATAGAACATAGCTACCAGGAATACTGAGAATTGACTATATCTGATAAGGGACTTATCAGAACTCTAATAAGGAACTCTTTCTTAAAATTCAGCAAGTTGAAAAATGGGCAAAAATATTTGAGTAGAGATTTCTCCAAAGAAGATATGTAAATGGCTAAAAGCACATGAAAAGATGCCCAATACCATTAGAAATTAGGAAAATGCAAATCAAAACCACAGTGAAATACGACTTCAAACCAACTAGTATAGCCATAATCAAAGTGATAGGTAGTAAGTGCTGGTGAGGATGTAGGGGAATTGGAACCCTCATATGCTGCTGGTGAGGACATAAAATAGGGGAGCCATTTTGCAAAATAGTTTAGTTTGTCAGTTCCTCAAAATGTTAAATATGGAGTTATCACATGACCCAACAATTCTACTTATAGGCATATACCCAAGGTCATGAATATTCACAGCAGCATTATACGTAATAGCCAAAAAGTGAAAATCATGCAGATACCCATCAATTGATGGATGGATAAATAAAATGTGGTATATCCATACAATGGAATATTATTCAGCCATAAAAAAGGAATGAAGTACTGATACATAATACAACATGGGTGAACCTTGAAAATATGTAATGTACAGTGTAAAAAGCCAGTCACAAAAGTCACTTTGGGGAGGAAATGGGGAGTAACTACTGATGAGTACAGCATTTCTTTCTGGGATAATGAAAATGTCCTAAAATTGATTGTGGTGATGCTTGTACAATTTTGTGAATATACTAAAAACCAGTGAATTGAACACTTTAAAATGGGTGAATTATATCTCAATAAAGCTGTTTTTTAAAGGCATATGAACTTTATAGATTTGAAAAAAATTTTTTAATGTTTAGTTTATTTTTGAGACAGAGAGAGACAGAGCATGAGTGGGAAAACAGAGAGAAAGAGAGAAACACAGAATCCGAAGCAGGATCCAGGCTCTGTGCTGACACAGGGCTCAAACTCGCCAACTGCGACATCATGGCATGACCTCACCCAGGTGCCCCTGGACTTTATATATTTTAGGTGGAAACTCTAGAAGGCCATTCCCTTGTATAGTACTTTGTTAGTAAACAAGATATTAAGTCTGTTTTGTGCTTACATTATCAAAATAACAATCATAACCATCAGGAGAGGCTTTTTTCAAAGTTTCTTCCAAAGACTCTACTGTTTTGTAGTTAAAGGCAACATCAAATCCAAGCTTTTTAAGGTAGGCAACCTTTTCGTCAGACCCTGCCGCTCCAACAACTTTGCAGCCCTAAATGGGGAGAAAAAAACCGTTTATGAGCCAAAACCATGGACTAACTCACCTTCCTAGCCTAGTATGGTCAGATTCCCCATGAACACCCTCTTAGGTGCTGAACCACATACATGAAGATACCATGATAGGCTAATAGGCCCATAGGTGAAATTAGTCCATGAATCAGCCTACAATCCAACTATAACTTCAGCTTGTCTCTGATCAACCCACAGATTCTGGTCTATGTTTATGTGGTTTGTGGCTCGTTTCAACTGGCTGGGTGACAACCTATTCATTTGACTCTCGTTTCTTTATTTTGGAGCTTCTTTTGCAGTGGCTTGCATGCTATCTTTTGGTACAGTGGTTCTTTAGGCTATAATTTAGGCTCAGCTCTGGAACTCTCAGTCCTCTTGTCCCACCCCCCCCCCCCCCGTAACTGCCCCCCTTATTCTTTGATTTGGGCTCAAGCATTGGACTAAATAGAACCTGTCTCATCATAGAATCACAGAGGAACTGGAGAGCATTCTGAAAAGCACTTTCAGGATGAGACTAGAAACTATACTGGTACATGGAGAGTAGCTCTTCAGAAATCTCTCTTCTATTCTGAACGTATCTTCAACTTCCAGGCAAGACCCACTAAACGAAACCCCCTGAGACCAGAGAAGGTCTGGTTTGTTCACTGTTGTATTCTCAGTGCACACAGTGGGTATTGAGTAAATGTCTGGTAATGGAAGAAGACGCTTACCTTGAGCTTAGCTATCTGACCCACAGCAGAGCCCACTGCTCCTGCTGCTGCATTAACCATCACTGTTTCTCCACCCTTCACACCACAGATGTCAAGTAGGCCAAAGTAGGCTGTTAGCCTGAGGGAAGAAAATTAAAGATATGTGGATTGATTTGTAGCCTTCTCTTATAAGTTGTTTAGATATATCCTGAAGGCCTTCTCAACACCCTAGTGCCATGGGTGTAATAAAAGACAGAAAATATAGGAACTGAATATTACCAGCCACTGATGGTCCACCTCCTCCTTCCTCGCTTCTAGATAGGAATAGATATGATGGGAACTAGAGAAGAAATGGAGAGTTGGTTGGAAAGGGGCTACACCTTGTCTATCCCCAGGCTAAGTCTCAGGAGCAAAAGAAGATTCCAGGACTCTGGGGGTCCTAGAATAGAGAGCTTTTGTCTCGTTCCTATGCAATCCTGGGGAGATGGTGAACTTCATGGGGAAAGCCTCTCTGTCATCATGGTGCCATAGCCATAGAACAGATGAGAGGATCTGAGAGAAACACCTTGAGTTTTCCATGGCTCCTACGTGGGATGGAAGAGCTTCTGAGATTTCCCCACCTCCTCCTAAGTGAGATGTTGAAGTTAGCTTGCAGGGAAAGAACTATGGAGTCTACAAAGATGCAGCTCAGACAGCACTCACAAGAACCAAGTGAAGAAGCCACCAGTTCGGGTGGCCAGCTTGGAAGGGGATATCACTGAGGACTCAGTGGGAAAAGTTACACTTTGAAGCAGAAGACCAGCATAAGACTAAGACAGGTCAAGATCAAGAAGTTATTGGGCACCTGGGTGGCACAGTCGGTTAAGCATCCAACTTCAGCTCAGGTCATGGTCTCACAGCTCATGAGTTTGAGCCCCGCATTGGGCTCTTTGCTGTCAGCACAGAGCCCACTTCAAATCTTCTGTCTCCCTTTCTCTCTGCCCCTCCCTTCCTCACACTCTCTCTCTCAAAAATAAACATTTTTTAAAAATTAAAAAAAAAAAAAAGATCAAGAAGTTGTTGTTTTGCCCCCACTGACACAGAATCTGTGTTAGCCCTGGAAGCTTTGCATCAATCCTGAGGAGAAAAAAAAGGAAATTCCGGGTTTTGAACCTGAACGATGTGAGAAATCACTATATTAAACTGAGGCTCTGTTTTACTACACAAGCCAAGATGCAGGCTTGGGATGGAGATGAGGTACAGCAATAGAAAAATTTTAAGTTCTATTTTTGTGCCCTTGAGTCTGAGCCAAAGAAATCTACATCCACTATGGTGATTGCTAAGCCACTTGCAAAATTTCAGACAAATTCATGTAAAGTTGTTTCTATAAGAAACAGAAGCTACACGTTAGCCTTTGACAATATCCGGGGGCCCATTAGAGTTGGACATTAAAGGCAAGGCAGTGAAAGGCATAGAAATCTACACCTTTTCTGAGGACCCAAAAGCTAATATTCCTAGTAATGTTCAAAAGATGGATGGAGCATCACTTGCCTCAGAATCATCTGGAGTTTTATTAAAAATTTAGATTCCCAGGCCCTACCTCAGACGCACTGATTCAGAAATACTGAGACTTGAACATCTGAATTTTTAAAGACTAGGTGATTCTTATGGATTTCAGCAACAGAGAACCACCACCTTAATGGATGCTGAAACCGGAGCACGCTGGGTGAACTAGCATAACCTCAAAAGAGAAGCAGAAGGTGCATTTTCTGATTATATCATTCCACCCATGACAATCGGTATCCCTCCCCACCTGGATCTCCCCTCTAGAAATTCTAAAATCACCCCTCAATTAGACATACTGCCCTAGGAGACACAAGGCCTCTCCCAAACATCATATCCTTTTACAAATAAAATGGAGAAGCCAACCATAAAGAAATCTGAGAGGAAAAATTAAAGGCACACTTGGGACTAAGGTGGAGGGGGGGGGACTTAACATAATTAACAGTTTGGAGAGCAAAACACAGGAACTCTTCCAGCTTAACTGAGAAGATACAGTTCCAGTGAAGGAAGTGATGCTGATGCAAACCTGGGGGAAATGTTAAATCTCTGGAGCCTAGACAGCTGAAAGGCACCCTAGGTCTCAGTGCTCAACTTCTTTTTTAATAATGTTTCTTTATTTATTTTGAGAGAGAGAGAGCGAGCAAGAGGGGGGAAGTGGGGGAAGACATAGAGAGAGGGAGAGAATCCCAAGCAGGCTCCACACTGTCAGCACAGAGCCCCACGGGCTCACGAAATGTGAGATCATGACCTGAGCCAAAACCAAGAGTTGGATGCTCAACCCATTAAGCCACCCAGGCACCCTGAAGTTCAACTTCTTTTATGGTCTATAGCAGAAGAAGTTCTAGAAATCTTGAGGGCTAACCCATCCCACAGGTAAGGAGTCCAGAATGGCAGGAACTGCTCAAAGAATGTGCAGTGTGTCAGTAGAGGAGGTTAGAAACCTGGGATAACTCCTCTCCCTCCATCAGTGAGAACCAATGGTATGAAGTTGACTTCATGTGTATGAAGTAAAAATGCACTCCTTGGGGGCTTGGAACAGGGTGAATGAGAAGTACACACAAATGAGTAAGTTATCCTCTGTTTTAGGATTCAAATCTCCTAATATTTTACACATTACTTTCTCCCCAACTAATGGGAGATTTGCTTCAAGGTTTCCTCATGTCTGCCTTCACCCCTGCATTCCTATACCTGGCTCACAACTTAGAGAGAAGGACAGGTGAGATGACAGAAGAAAGGGGTGCCTGGGTGGCATCAGTTAAGCATCCCGCTCTTGATCTTGGCTCCGGTCATGATCTCAGGGTTCGTGAGATCAAGCCCTGCATCGAGATTCTCTCTCTCCCTTTCTCTCTGCCCCTCCTCTGCTCATGCTCTCTCTCTGTCTCTCAAAAAACAAACTTTAAAAGAAGACTTTAAAAAAAAAAAAAGAAAGCAAAAAGGTATTAAGCACCCTCTAATTTCACAGCACTGCCTCTTGGCCACAGCAATTCTAAGGAGTTCATAATCTGAGTGCAATCTAAACTGGGGGTGTGTGGGGCTGGTTTTTGCTAGAGGCTGATCGTTTGGGGTATATATTTCCATTTCATTCTTTAGAAGTCCTTCAAAGTGTGAAAAAGAAGGAGGGAGGGAGGGAATTGAGGGGGGAAGGAAGGAAGGAAAAGATCATACAGCTTAGAGAAAGAAAGGAAATACATGAATTCCAGGTTAAAAGAGTTTTGGGGGATTCCAAAAGAATTTAATTTGACCTTGTTTCCCCAGACCATAAAAGGAAATTTAGGGTCCAAAGTACAACTGAGATATGATGAACTGACCGGGAGTCTTCTTGAGGGACAAGGCCAAGGGACTCTTGTGTAGTTCAAGTCTGTGTCAGCTGAGTGACTGTGCAACCATGCTTGTGATTCATCTCATTTAAACTTCAGCTCCCTTTATACCTCAGGAAATTCAGATGTGCAAAGGGAAAGGTGAGGAATGAGAAACAGTACAGAAAAGTCAAGGTAGATTGAATCCTTTTTCTCTTTTTAAACTCTGAAATGGAGGCAGAGACCCTGAAGCCAAGACCCTCCCAGGGACAAAAGGAGCTAGTTCCTTTGTGTTACCATTTGCCAGCTGCTAGAAAGGGATTGTGCCCCATGCCGCTTCTCACTGCTGCTCTCTGGATCTGAGGGTCTCTGGCCGGACTTTTCCCTTTCTTTCCTTCAGTCCAAGGCCAACTCTAACCCATCTTTTTCCCTTCTTAGTCCTACCATCTACTCTAACCGGCCCCTGAGCCTAGAATGTCTTGGGTCCCTTCTTGTTGACCACATTCTGGACAAACTATTTTGGAAAACCAGAATGTCAGATATTCAGACAAATGAAATATACCCACGAAACTCACCCTGTCATGCCAACTATTCCCAGAGTCAAAGACATTGGTAACGTGTCTGGCCACTCTGCAGGCAGTTTTTCCAGATCTTTCCCATCAGAAATGGAGTGAGTTGTCCAGCCTGAAGAAGCCACTACCACAGTTCCTGTTGGGAAGGCTGAGTTTTTACTTTCCACAACTCTGAAATATAAAGCACAGTAAGATGTAGGAAACCTCTTCTCTTTCAAGGGAATTGGGATGCTGCATGGTTAGTGTTCCTAAAAGGGCACTGAAATTAATATTCCATGATCAAATACTCCACCGCATCTCTCCATCTTATTTCTAGACATCCGTTTCTCCTCCTCCTTGAGAAAAAAAAATATAGGCCACTAGAGAGGAATTCTCTGAACTGGTTCAACATCTGTCTCTGTCCTCACCCACTTTTCTCTAAGCGAGAGGTATGCATCCTCTGGTTCAAGGTGCTCTGGATACTGGCCTCTTCTGTTCTTCAAGGGCCACCCTCCATCCCCTAACCCTTTCTGTGTCCTGAATATTTAACATTGTCCTCTCCACTGCCCCTTTTGCCTTTTACATTCTAACTTCTTCACTGTCCAATCACTTGATAACCCAATGCAACACGGTTTCCACCCCGTTACTCCACTAAGGTCACAATTTCTGATTGCAAAATCTAGTGGACATTCTTCACTCATTATCTGATATCGCCTTTCCACTGTATTCAACACTCTGGGCTACCCAAAGTCTTCTTCGTTGGATTCCACAATACTGCCTTCACTGCGCTTTTTTGCCTCTCCCTCCAAACTGCTCCTTTCCTGTCTCATTTGCTGATTCTTACTCTCCCATCTTCTCCTGCTGTTACCATTTTTTACTGTCTTTCCCTTGACCATAAAATTATGTAACACATTTATTTTAGAAAAGTTATACTATACAATATAAAAAAATCAATTCTAACCCCATAATACAAAGACAACTTGCTAATATTTCGGGGTGTGTTATGGCAATCTTAACGATATATTTTAAAATGTGTATTGTAAGAATGCAAACTGGTATAACCACTGTGGACAACAGTATGGAATTTCAAAAAAATTAAAAATTGAATTACCATATGATTCAGTAATTCCACTACTAGGTATTTACCCAAAGAATATGAAAACACTAATTGAAAAAGATATATGCACCTCTATGTTTACTGCTGTACTATTTACAATAGCCAAACTATGGAAGCAACCCAAGTATCCTTCTATAGATGAATGGAAAAAGACACACACACACACACACACACACACACACACACACACACAGTGGAATATTACTCAGCCATAAAAAAGAATGAAATCTTGCCATTTGTAGTAACATGGATGGAACTACAGGGTATAACGCTAAGTGAAATAATAATTCAGAAAGACAAATGCCATATGATTTCACTCATGTGTAGAATTTAAGAAACAAAGCAAATAGCAAAGAAAAAAAGAGACAAAAAAATAGATCCTTAAATATAGAAAACAAACTAATGGTACCAGAAGGGAGGTAGGTGGGTGTTGGGTAACATAGGTGAAGGGGATTAAAAGTACTTTTTGGGACAGCTGGGTGGGTTAAGCATCTGACTCGATTTGGGCTCAGGTCATGATCTCCTGATTTGTGGGATCAAGCCCCACATCAGGCTCTGTGCTAACAGTGCAGAGCCTGCTTAGGATTCTCTCTCTCTCTCCTTGCCCTCCCCTGCTTGCTCTCTCAAAATAAAGGAAAAAAAAATTAATGTTTATTTTAGAGAGAGAAAGACAGACAGACAGAACACAAGCAGGGGAGGGGCAGAGAGAGAGCGAGACACAGAATCCAAAGCAGGCTCTGGGCTCCAAGCTGTCAGCACAGAGCCTGACATGGGGCTCGAACCCACGAACTGTTGGATCATGACCTGAACCAAAGTCAGGCACCCAAGTGACTGAGTCACCCAGGTGTCCCAAAATAAATAAAATTTAAAAAAAAATTTTTACAAAGAAGTACACTTATTGAGATGAGCAATGAGTAATATATAAAATTGTTGAATCACTATATTGTAACTAATATAACACTATATGTTAATTATACTGGAATTTAAAAAGAAAATAAGTGAATTTTTAAAAATGTTTATTATATGTATTTACATAATTGAAGCCACCTTGTTTTGCAACCCAGTTTTTCTCTGTCTACACAGAATATATGACTTATACTTCTTCTCATGTTAGTAAGAATCCTTTAAAAACTGAAATGAATTTCAGGGTGCCCTTCTGGCTCAGTCAGCAGAGTAAGCAACTTGGAGGTAGGAGCTGGAATACCACACTGGGTATACAGATTACTTAATAATAAAAGCTTTTTAAAAAACTGAAATGAATCTATTATACCAGTACTAGACATTTAGGTTATTTCCAGTATCTTCTTTTTAAACAAAATTTTTTAATGTTTTATTTATTTCTGAGAGAGAGAGAGTCAGTGTGAGTAGGGGAGGGTCAGAGAGAGAGGGAGAACAGAATCTGAAGCAGGCTCCAGGCTCTGAGCTGGCAGTCAGCACAGAGCCTGGCACGGGGCTCAAACCCACGAACTGTGAGATCATGACCTGAGCAGAAGTCAGACACTTATCCGACTGAGCCACCCAGGCGCCCCAATTTCCAGTTATCTTCTAAATTATACTTCAATTAATATTTATAAATGTGAATTTATTATTTCCTTAGGCAATGTTTCTATAAATGGAATTACTAGGTCAGAGACTAATAAAACATCTGTTAACTCTTGTTGCATATTGCCAAATTCTTTTCTAGAAGGTTATACCAACTTTTCTTCCACCTTCAGTGTATATCATAACATTTCCATCACTGAGTATTGTCTTAAAAAAAACAACTTTTGCCAAGTCAGCAAACACAAAAATATGTTATTCATATCTTTGATAATCAGCAGGAAATATATACGACTTATATGGAGAAAAGTTGTAATGGGCCATAACACAAAGATAGATAAATGGAGAGATATACTTTGTGCCTGGAGAGAAATGTACTAAAGATAACAAGTTTCCTCTAAATAAACCTATAAAGTCATTGAAATCCCAAAAATCCAAATATAATTTCAATAAATGGTGTTATAACTGACTAGTCATTTGGACATAAAGTAAATACTTCACCCCTTATTCCAAAATAAAAATTAAATGAACTGAAGACTTAATTGTAAAAAATTAGCATGTAAAATACCAGAAGAAGGGCATCTGGGTGGCTCAGTTGGTTAAGTATCCAGTTTTGACTCAGGTCACGATCTCATGGTTCATGAGTTCGAGCCTGGAATTGGGCTCTCTGCTGTCAGCACCCAGCCCACAAAATAAAATAATGAAATGAAATGAAATGAAATAAAGTAAATAAAATAAAATAAAATACCAGAAGAAAATATGAATAAATATTTTAGTCATTTTGGAGGGGAGGATGACTTTTTAATGATGAAATGAAACTAAAAAGCCACAATCACAAATATTAATAATTTTATCACATAAAAATTTTAAACCATGATTGGACACAAGGGAAAGATAAAGATAAACGAAGACCCAAATATTTGCAACACTCATACTCCTAACATATAAAAAGCTTGTACAAATCATTAATAAAAGATAAAAAGACCTAAAGGAAGAAAGGAAGGGACATAAATATACTTCACAGAAGAGAACTGATAATTTACAAAAAGAAAGTCAACATCACTAATAATGAAGGAAACGGAAATTAAACTAAGCATGAAGTTTTGACGTGAATTCATCTCAGATTGCCAAAACTGATGGTAAGCAATGGGCATTTGGTATGAAGGAGAAAGGTTCTCTAATGCTATTGGTGGGAGCGGATGTTCAGACAATATTTTTGAAGAGCAATTTGACATCAAATCCTCAAATTAAAAATGCACATCTCCTTTGACCTAGAATTTATACTTCTGGGAATTTAATGTGAAGCAATATTTATCCAAGTAGACAAAGAATACACAGACATGCACATAAAGATGTACACATGTTCCCTGCAGAACTATTTATAATAGAAAAAATTGGAAACAGTTGCTATCAGGAATTTAGTTAAATGACAGATAACAGTGGAATAATTTACAGCCATTAAAAGGTAGGTAGTATATTTATATACTACCAACAAAAGATATCCATAACACATTAATAAAAAGAAATTTGCTGAAGGGCATATAATACTGCTAGTTAAGAAAAATCATAGATATTGTTTTGTGTACCGAACAATTCTGAAATAAGAATACACTAACAATAGTCATCTCTAAGGCTCAAATGATGGGGGAACTTTCAGTTTCCAAGATATAAAATTTTGATTTATTGGTATTTTTTACAATAGTCGTAAACTGGACAAAAGCAATTTTTTAAGTAATTAAAAGCAAGACTAGCAAAGTGAAATGGCAGTGCTGACAATCTCACAGACTTCCCTTCCCCTCGGGAAAGGGGCAAAATATCCCAAGTTGCTCCCAAGGTCAGTGAGTGAGCCACATGGGCTGAAGAAACTGTACGGGTGACGGACGGAGACAGGGCCCAACAGGAGCTTAAGAGAGACACATGTGTCAAGCACTGGGACAAACAGAAATACCTGGCCACTTGCTGCCCCATCATCATATCACCCTCTTTCAATCTTTTGGCTGCCACTCTGGAAAAAGAAAACAAACATAAATTCTTAATACATAAGAGCATCGAGGGAAAACCGTCTTGAGTTTCAGGCCAAATGGAAAATCAGTGGGAAAGTGTGTGCTGATACATGAAGGTAATATAACTGGGTGAAATGCAGAAGGAGAGCTGTTAGAGGTAGTTCGGCTTTGTGACCCCAAAGCAGCATTCTGATAGTATTTTTCTGGGAAATGAACATGAGAATCTTACTATCATGTTCCATTGAGGGTAAGTTTCTACCAATGCCTTAAAACAACGAAGACACTGCTGAGTCCTTGTTACTCAAGTCACAAGTTGTGATATTGTGATTTAGAATTAGGATTAATATATTCTGTCTACATCCGGTTTCTGGCACAGAGCTCCTAAAACTCCTGGGATTTCCCAATTGCTGAGGCTGATAAAGGTATCTTTTGTTATGTTAATGAAGCGGCTCTAGGAAAGCTCCTAAGGATGGGAGATGGTTGCCAAAACCAACCATGTGGTTAGAGGGCTGTAACTTTCATTTTCCTTCCCCAGATCTCAGGAAATGGAGACGGACTAGAAATCGAATCAGTTGCCAATGGCCAATGTAAATCATTGTAAATCATCAAGCATGCCTATGTAATGAGCTTTCATAAAATAGGTTCAGAGAGCTTCTGAGTTGGTGAACAGAAGGTCTGGGGAGAGTAGTGCCCTCCGAGAAGGCATGGATGCTCCTTGTCCCTCCCCATGTACTTTGCCCTATGTATCTCTTCCACATGACTGTTCTAGAGTTATATATCCTTTTATAATAAACCAGTAATCTAGTGAGTAAACTAGTTTTGTGAGTTCTATGAACCACGCTAGCAAATTAATTGAATCCAAGGAAGAGGTCGTTGGAAACACCAAAGTACAGTACTGTGGACCTGAGACTGGCATCTAAAGTGTGTGGGGATAGTCTTGTAGGACTGACTCCACGTGTGGGATCTGACACTGTCTAACTGTAAATACTGTCAGAATTGCGTTGAATTGTAGAACACCCCGGGGTTATCAGAGAATTGGTTGGTACTGTTGGGGTGGGGGGAACCTACAAATTAGAATTATTATTGCAGAATCATACTAGCCACACAAAAAGGGATGCTATTAACATTTTGAAACATTTTTTACATTAGATTTGAATCTCTACTGATCAGCTCTGAAAACAATCATTTTAAAGAATGATGACTACGTTATTTACCTCGGCAAAAACCACTGAGAAGTTAGTGCCCCATAAAGGCAGGCCTTTTATTCCCTCCCCTCCCTAAATTTTGTCCTGAGTATACACGTTCCATTAAATTATAGGAATACAGGTAAATGGAAGACAAGAAAACCTTATTTTAGTCTTTCCATTTTCCTTCGCCCAAATTAGGTGCCAGGAGTGAAATGGACCAATTGGATTTGTCTTAATTTTTCGGGAAGCAATTCTGGTGAGCAATGAAAGGCAAATGGTGCACATTAAGATAGGAGATGATGGTAAAATAAAGGGACCAAAGTAACTCCTCATCAAACTTCTCACACCTTTGCTGGCAAAGATGAGCATCCATGAATCTTATCGCTGGTATTATACTGGGACAAGGGGGGGAAATGACAATCAGTTGGATATTTGAAAAAATGGACTATTTCAGGGGCACCTGGGTGGCTTAGTCAGTTAAATATCTGACTTCAGCTCAGGTCATCATCTCATGATTCGTGAGTTTGAGCCCCACATCAGGCTCTGTGCGGATAGCTCGGAGCCTGGAGCCTGCTTCAGATTCTATGTCTCCCTCTCTCTCTCTGCCCCTCCCCTACTCACATTCTATCTCTCTCTCAAAAATAAATAAACATTAGAAAAATGTTTTTAATAAATAAACAAATGAAATTAAAAAATGGACTATTTCAAAACACAGTCCCAAACACAACACATGAATTTTTTAGGAGGAAAATAATACCTCATGTAAGGATCCACAGTGAGAAACAAAGCTTCCAGCAGGACCTCTACAAAACAAAGCATTCCATAGGCAATTAGATACTCGACACTCTATGCCTTCCTTGACTTTGGCACTCTAAATAAACACAGGTAACCATTCTGCTTCAAGGTTGCCCTTCCATCAGTGCTTTCTATGGAAGACACAATAGGGGCTCTCACATTTGGTCCAGCCCAGATCGTCGTCATCGTCGTCATCATCATCATCATCATGTTATTTACTCAACACTCCATGCTTTACATAAATTCTTTTATATGATATTCTCAACTAGTACTGTTTCCATTTTATTTAGGCCTAGGTTAAGGAATTTGCTCAGGGCCACATCTGTAATCCATACGTTACAGTGCTCATATAAGGTTTCACTAACAGCACCCGTCAGTATTAAAGAATCTGTATTTTGTTGCAGTGACCCTCATGCACACATTCTCTGGAATTTTGAATCTGAGTCCTGGCTACCCCAACTTAGATGGGACTGAACTTTGCCATGCTATTTGATTACATGCCCTTTTCTCAAAGCCTGTCTATATACCTGTAAACGCCCTTTATTGTTTGCTCTACAAAGCTAATCTCCAAACATGTTATAGTGTGTGCTGCCATTTCTCTCCCCTAGATTTCTTTAGGTTTGCCTTGTCCTTCCTCTTCCCCCAAGGGGATGGGAGACTCCTCAATGAAGGAAGAGAGTTTTTCCCTCCTGTCTATGTACAGGATAATCTGAGCTCTGCACACAGCTGCTAGGCATTGCTTTCCCCTCTTGCTTACTCCATCATCAGGCTTGCCAGGACAGAGAGGAAATCCTTCTCAGAGTCTGGTCAAAGTCATGAACAATGTATCCAAGCTTGAGTTTCAATTATGAAGGAAATCAGTGGGATCCTCCAACATGATATGACATGAAGGCTTCACATAAGAAAACCTTGAAAAAAATCTCTGTTGCAGATTGCGAAATTGTCACAAATGCTTCCTATCTCTTTATGTGGGGCCTCCTTGCCACTCCTTCCATCAAGAAGTCTATTTCTCAATCCTTGAATCTGGACTTGGCTAATGTGACTTGCTTTCCATATTAGCAAACATGATATAAGTAGAGGCATGAAAGTACTTGTATGTTGGAGCCTGCCAACTCCTACTGTTCTAGATCAACAAGTCCACTGTAAAAACAAAGAGCTCAAACCAGCCTACTAGAAAGGCCACACACAGGAGAACTGAGGCACACATACCTCGGCAGAAAGCTTGCTAACCATCAGCCATGTGAGGGGGATGTCCATCCTAGATTAAACATTTAGCTCAGATGAGACCTGCAGAGTTACCACCAAATTAACCCAGCCCAAACTGCCAACCCACAGAATTGTGAGCTAATAATGCTTGTTGTTTGACATCACTAAATTTTGTGGCATTTTTGTTATGCAGCAAGGGCTAACTGATATAGTCTTTTCAATCTCAAATCTAATGACTTACCTCCATTGTTTAAGGGTGGGAGTTCAACTGTCTTCAACTCAAAGTTACCATGAGTGGGGCTGCCTTCTAAGTGCTTCTTCAGGATCCAGCTCTTAGCATAAACCATTCTGAAGTTCCTGGAACTCAGTAAAGAGTTAGTAGTCAGCTACTACTAACTAGAGGTAGTCAGCTACCATGAAATGACTGGATTATTAAGACTTCCTAGCCATTATACTGAGGCCAGACAGGATGGTCTACTCATCATCTACTTCTCTTCATTATCATTTAACACCAATTATATTTATTAAGTATTTACTACATTTCTATTGCTGTGCTAAGCGCTTCATACACATTATTCTCATTTTATCCTCATAAATTCCCTATTAGATAGGCACTGCCAGTACAAATGAGAAAACTGAGGTTTCCTCAGAAATCTCCAAGGCAGGGGGCGCATGGGTGGTTCAGTCGGTTGGGCAGCCGACTTTAGCTCAGGTTATGATCTTGCGGTCCATGGGATCGAGCCCCGCTTTGGGCTCTGTGCTAACAGCTCAGAGCCTGGAGACTGTTTCAGATTCTGTGTCTCCCTCTCTGCCCCTCTCCAGCCCGTGCTCTGTCTCTCTGTGTCTTAAAAATAAATAAACGTTAAAAAAAAAGTAAAAAATAAATAAAAGAAGTCTCCAAGACAAGCAAAAATGTAAACTAACACAGAAAATCTTCCCAGCTACCACCAGGGTTTCCCCAGGACACTCGACAGCCACCTCATGTGCAAATACTGTTTCTCACCTCACATAAAGCTAATCCTGAGAAAGAGTGTCAAACACAAAGAACCAAAGGGAGGAACACGCACATCTTTCAGATAGATAGAGCAACGTTCTAAGGCAGTCTCATCCTGCTGTTCACCACAGCGTGGCGCTGCTGCTCCGTTCAGTGGTGAGTTTACTTTGGCACCAAATGGGAAATCCAGGGTTTAAATTCGCCTCCACAGGAAACCAAGAGAGATGATCCAGGCTGCCCTGAGCTTTGGGATCAGGACATTTTGCTTGAACCCATCTCCCCGCATCACGTGGGAGCCTCTCCTTCCTCAGGTGTGTACCGGTAGCTGAGAGGCCTGTCCCCCCTCAGTGTAAGCAGAGAGAGTTAGGGGTCGCCAGACATAGAAAGATGAGACACAGCTTTCGAGACACAGAAGTCATTTTTAGCCCTCAGCTACTCTTGTGATCTAAGCCCTCCTGACACTACTTACGCAAGCACACCTTCTGCAGGAGGTGTTACAATTACAAAGGAATGCAAAAACCTCAAAAGTTAAGAATTTTATGGAAACAAGTCCTTTTACTGAGTCAGAAAATAGCCTAACCTTATCAGAGACAATAAATCAATGGCAAAACTCCCAGCTCTGTTTCGAAAGCAGAGACTGATCTCATGTGCATGGTTGGGCTGTTCTTTGCTAGACTGGAACCCCTTTGAGCACTCAAATTCCGGACTAATTGGAGCCAGAGAACTGATCACGCCCACCCCTGCTGACCCTCAAGACTTCAATCGACTTAGGACTGGACTCCGTCGACTTAGGATGACCTTTGCCCCAATTCATAATGAACTTGCCTTTGCAGAGCCCCTTCATGAATATGCATGCACCCTTAGCTTAAAACCTCCTCACTTTTGTTCAGGGAGACACTACTTTGGGAAATATCCCTGGTGTTCTCCTTTATTCTTGCAAATAAAATCCTTCCTTTTTCTATTCTATGGCTTGGTTCAGTCTTTCGACTGAACACCCATGAAGAGGCGACTCCAGTTTAGGGTAACAGCAGAGCCCTGGACACTTCTGCATTGCCGGGGGAGCGTTCCCTGCGGGCGCATCCGTAGCCCTGCTCTTCTGCTAATCTCTTTCCCCCAAAAAGGCAGCTGAGAGCGAATTCTGCATTCGCTGCCGGTGCAGAAGCTCTCTGGAAAGAGCGAGGCCGCAGGGGCCGCAGAGTTCACGGAGTCCCATCCACCAGAGGGAGGTGTCCGGGGGCAGTGCCCGCAGGCGCGCTCATTCCCGGCTCCCACCTCATCAGCCTGCACACACCCGTGCCCACTAACCGAATTCCGACCCCTATCTTTCTTCTTCTTGCGCACTTGTCCCAGTTTCGCGGTTCGGCAAGTTACTTGGCTAGCCGCAGGCCGGGGTAGGCAGCTAGGCCGTGCCCTTCCTCCATCAGGTCTCTAATTTCTCCAAGAACAGGCTGGGCCTGGGAGACATCGATCGGGACATCTGGCTTTCTAGTTTCCTCCTAGTGCAAGACTCAGAGGTTATGCAGCAAGAAAAGAGGGAGAGCAACGCGCAAACGCTCCACAATAGGGAATTCTAGAAAATCAGCAGGAAAAATCGGTGGGGCGGCATGCTTACTCACGAGAGTCCGCGGGTTCCGCTACCTAGGCACAGAAAGCGTTCGGGGTTGTGCGGCAGGGCTCCCACCGCCGGGATTTAAGGCGGGTCCCAGGAGGGGGGTGGGGCTTCCTCAGGGGCGGAGAAGGGTGGCGCAGCCCCGGCCCGCAGAGGGCCTCGGGAAGGAGGTCAGGGTTCCCCACAAGTGTGTGTGTATCTGTGTGCGTAGGGCGTGCTTCCAGTAATAAAGGCCTCTATCGGAGCCCTGCCCACGTGCAGCTGTACCTGTCCCAGCGTCCTACCTGGCAACCCGGTGGAAAGACGCCGCGTGGGAGAAACGAGCCTCGGCCTCCACCGATCAGGAAGGAAAGACCCCAAACGCAGTGTCCCCCAGCGGCCGCAGCCCAGGTCAGGCCCAGTGCTGGTTTTTATCTGATCCGCAAGGTCCTCCTCAGAACTCTGCTTGCCTGGCGTCCACACCTCCACCCCAGTCTAAGTCTCCCTAATGAACACATGTTTACCTTTCCCAAGTCTGTACAAGAGTTCCAACGTCTGTGAGCTGTGATCAGACTGCCCCAGGCAGGAGTGAGCGCTCTTCATTGAGGCGCCCCTACGAGTCAGAACATCCAGGCCTTAACGGGGCCTTTCTGAGACTCGGGGAGGAGAGGTGGTCTAAGGGAGGGGGTGTGCACAAAGCGAAAGTGCTGGTTTGGGCTACCCTGATTCGAAACTGGTGTTATTCCCCTTTCCTAGCTGTGCAGCTTTCAAGGAGTTCCTTAGCCTCTTCCTGCCTAAATTCACCCCTCTGCAAATAGGGAAAAGAATAGTGCTTTGTGGGGGCTCCCCCTAGTAGCTCACCCCCCAAAGCCTGCAACTCTTGATCTTGGGTCTGAGTTCCAGCCCCAAGTTGGGCGTTTAAAAAAATAAGTAAGACATTAAAAGAAAAAGAATAGTGCTTTATGAACATTAAATATCTTTTTTCCCCTTTTTTCTTCTAGAGAGAGAGCTCGCCAGCTGGGGAGAGGATCCCAATCAGGCCCCGTGCTGAAAGGAGCTTGATCCGTGATCCTGGGATCATTAACTGATCATTAATTAACTTGATTAAGTGGAAATCAAGAGTCCAGAGCTCAACAGACAGAGCCACCCACACACTCCATAGGTGTCTTTTTAAAGAACAAAATGAGTTAATAAAGATAAAGTGCTTAGATTAGTACAGGTGTGTCGTAAGCTCAATAAACTTAGCTCCCAGTAACAAGATCTTTGGAATTCCCTGTTGGCCCTGAGTCAGTCCCAGGATCAGTCAGTCCCACAATCACATTGTGCCTGATTCAATTATGTATCCCCATCTTCTAACCCAATTCTTGCCAGCCCTGTCATGTAAATAGTGAAACAATACAAAGATGTTTAAGGAATTTTAAAACTACCCCTTAATTTCCTCCATTACCCTCTCCCTAAGGTAACTCATGTTACCTTTGCAGTATTTACCTTTCACTCCCTTCTCTGTAGCCACTCAGACATCTATATATACATAGAGAAGGGTTTTTTCCCCTGTTTTGACACCACTGGGATCATTGTCAACATGGTACTCTGCATCTCTTTCCCTTTTTCTTTTTTTTCCTTCTGCATCTTTTTTTCTGATTGAACATCAGGGACCTACTTCCAAGCAAAGAGATACAGATATAACTCCTTACTGAAATAGTTCTTAGATAATATTCTATACTTTGGATGTATGATAATTTATTCCTCAATGTTGAGATGGTTTCTAATCTTGCTTTGCTTTGTCACTATCAACAGTGTTGCAATAAATACCTATCTACGGGCAGGGGGCGGTGCCTGGGCGCCTCAGTGGGTTAACGGTCCAACTTCAGCTCATGATCTTGTGGTTCACCAGTTCGAGACCCATTGGGCTCTGTGCTGACAGCTCAGAGCCTGGAGCCTGTTTCGGATTCTGTGTCTCTTTCTCTTTCTGCTCCATCCCTGCTCACATTCTTGAAAATAAATAAACATTAAAAAAATAATAAATACCTATCTACAAGGAGTTTTATATTCTAATGCTTTTATTCCTACGGGCTAGATTCCCAAAACTGAGATTATTAGGTTAAGGAATATGTGTTTTTAATTTTTTTTAATATTTTTATTTATTTTTGAGAGAGAGAGAGAGAGAGTACGCGCGCGAGCAGAGGAGGGGCAGAGAGAGAGGGAGACAGAATCTGAAGCAGGCTCCAGGCTTTGAGCTGTCAGCACCCAGCTCAATGCCGGGCTTGAACTGGTGAACCACAAGATCATGACCTGAGCCAAAGTTGGATGCTCAATCAACTGAGTCACCCAGGTGCCCCAAAGAATATGTTTTTAACGTATTGAGTTGAATCACATGAAACTATTGATATTCAACCACTGTGACCTAAAGAAACCACAATTTCAAAAAGTTAAGCCTAATGTATTACCAGATTGTTTTCCAAAATAAAATAGCAATTTACATTCCTCTCTTTTTTAAAAAAAGTTTGTTTATTTATTTATTTATTTATTTATGAGAGAGCATGTGCATGAGAGCACGTGTGCACGAGTACGAGGTAGGGACAGAGAGAGAGGAAAGAGAGAATCCCAAGCAGGCATGCTCTCAGTACAGAGCCCAACTCAGAGTTTGATCTCATGACTGTGAGATTATGACCTGAGCCAAAATTAAGAGTCATCACCCAGGTGTCCCAGCAATTTACATTCTTACCATCAATGGATGTGAGCTTCTGTTACCTAAAGCCAATAATCAGGACTGGTGTTACTGTTGTATTCACTTTTTATCAGTCTGATCAGTGCAAATGAATTTATGCCCACCAACAGCTGAGATCTGATTTTATTCACATTTAGACCCTTGCATCTACCTATAGTATCATTTAGAATATCTTTCCTTGCAAGTTACAGAAGATTCACATTGGCTTAAAGAATAAGGGGAATTTCCTGGCTCATGTGACTGAAAAGTACAGAAGTAGAATAGGCTTCAGAGTTGGTCTGAATCAAAACCTGGCATATTTCATCCTTACCTGCTGCTTTCTGTGGCATCAGCCTAATCCTAAAGCTTGCTTCCCTCATGGTGACAGAATGGCTGCAGCAGGTCCACTAATCTAAAGGAAAGAAAAATACCCATGTCACAAAATTTCTAGAAAGAGTCCTCTACCTCACATTGGTTGAAATGTCTCTGAACCAATCTCTGGCCAATTAAAGACTGAAAAGCTTGGGCCTAGGTTATCTAAGCCTATTATATGTCATCAAGGATAGGATTCCTCTTTTCCCTTTGCCAGGCTTTCAATTAACAAGGCACTGAAAGATTCAGAACTCCAAGAGAAAGGCTTCTCAGTTTTCAACATAAAATGGCATTAAGTAATAATCAGATGTTAGCTGTACAGTATTGTCAGTTTTGTAGGAAAGCTTGTTTGTTGGCTTCAAAGGCTTTTAATAGAAGAGCTGAAAGAAATCTGGGCATCTCTGAGAAAGTATATTGGACTTCTAGAACTGCCATAACAAAATACCATAGGTTGGGCAGCTCAAACAATAGAAATTTAGTTTTTCATGGTTATGAGGCTGAAAGTTCAAGATCAAAGTGTTGGCAAGTTTGGTTTCTCCTGAGCCCATGCTCCTTGGCTTGCTCATGGCCACCTTCTTTCTGTGTCCTCACATAGTTTTTCTCTGTGCACCCACATCTCTGGTGTGTCTCTCTTCTTTATGAACACAGGTCATATTGGAGTAGAGCCCCACCTCAGAGTCTCAGTTGAATTTATTCATCTCTCTGAAGGTCCTGTTTCCAAATACAATCACGTAGATTAAAGCTTACTCATTTATGACTTCATTGAACTTTAATTACCTCTTTTGTGTGTGTGTGTGTGTGTGTGTGTGTGTAACCATATCTCTTTTAATGAAGAAAATTTAGCGAAAAAAGAAAAATCATGATGCCTAATGAGATGAATAAAAAAAACAAAAAATGTGTAATACTGTTAATGAAAGATTTTTGAAAGCCTACATAGATACAATCCACAAAATAGGATAACTTGCATAGAATCTACACACTTTTTTTTCATATCTGGAAAAGTCTTTATTCTTTTTTTTTAAAATAGTTTATTGTCAAGTTTTTAATTACCTCTTTAAAAGCCCTATCTCCAAATGCAATTATATTCTCAGGTACTGGGGTTGGGCTTTGATATATGAATTTGGGGGGAACACAATTCAGCCCATAACAAAATGTATGGATGCAAAGTGGATGGATATACACTGTGAGGTATAATGCAGCAATCAGAAGCACTGGGTTACATGTACATAAAGCAATGTGGATGGATCTTAAAAACCCAATGCTGCCTAAGAACACAACACAACAAAGTGGGGCATATAGCTCAATATAATTTCTACAAATTAAAAGTATAAGCCCACAGGGGTGCCTGCTTGGCTCAGTCTATGGAACATGTGATTCTTGATCTTGGGCTTATGAGTTTGAGTCCCACATTGGGTGTGGAGATTACTTAAAACAGAATCTTAAAAAAATAAAAAATAAATAAAAGTTTAACTCCCAGTATGCATTATGCAAGAACATTTACAAAAAAAGACAAACTATACATTAAACACATCACAATAATTGCCTACAGTAGAAGGAGGAGAAGAGTAGATGTGGTTTTTTTAAAGTATATAAATTAATGAGAGAGAGGGAATTTTGGGAAAGCCAGTGGTGATAATACACCATAAATTATGATGAGTATGAAGAACTCAGCCCTCTAGCACTGAGGTCCAAGATCAAATATGAACAGTGAAGAAATCAGGACATCTCTCTTCTTAGCAGGGTGACAGAAAGCTTTTGCCATAGTCCAGCTCTATGGACAAAAACAAGCTTTGCCCCTCTTTTTAATCTAAAATAGTTGGCCCATATGGTGACATCCAATTGCAACATATCCTTTCTAATTTGGGACACAGACAGTTTATGGTTTTCTCTATTATCGAACAGAAACATTGCAAAATAACCAAAGTGGCAAGCATGTACAATTAATGGCAGAGAGCCAGATATAAACACTCAGAAAAATATTTCATGCTTGATATTGGCTGTTCAGTATCCACTTCCCCTTCATCTTTCCTACAAACACATCCCAATTTTGTTCAGGGTAGCAGTGTGCCCAATTAAAGAACTCTGGTTTCCAGACTCCTTTGCAGCTGGGGTTTTGACACAGTTCTAGTCAGAAAGATATAAGCAGAACTCTAATATCTAATGGTTAGGGCTTTTAGGAAAGTTATTGTTTTCCTGATTAAAATGAAAAGGGACATTTTTTTTCTTTCAGATGGTGTTGGTGTAGTGTATTCTTGGTTTTCAAAATACCCATAGTTTTGAGACTTTGAAATGGTAAATATTCACTGTGTGTAAAAAAGCATGACACATAAGTGTATGATCTTAAGTGTATGATCTTAAATACACACAGGGGACCCAGAAATTAAACTATAAATTGCTTGTGATTATGGATGACTTTGTTCTTTGCTTCTTGTGTTTTTCAATTTCCTTTTATCCACTTATATTAACTTTAAAAAAATTTTTTAACCTAAAATAAAATTAAATAAAATGAAAAAGGACAAACTTAATAGACATG